AAACAACTTTGGCGTGTGTGTGTGTAAAACCCAAACCTAAACAACTTTGGCATACTAAACTTGAAAAAACATGTTAGCAAAAGTGTTCAATCAAAATCAAAGAGCTTTAAATTGTTTATTTCTCTTTCTAAATCATACCTTTGCTACACCAACATTGTATCCTTATAGATTGGGTTATCATAGGGGTGTAATCGAGCTGAGTATTGGGAAGCTCGAGCTTGAGCTCAAACGAGCTTCAAATGTTGAGCCCAAGCTCAAGCTCGACAAAAATATGGGGGCTCAGGCTCGGCTTAATTGCCTATGTAGATCGAGCTCAGGCTCGGCTTGAGCCCGATTTCGAACCAATGTCAATAATAAAAGAACTTTTCTTCAACCCAAATCAATCAGTAATCACCCGAAACTCTCTTCCCAAACAAACCAAATTATACAAAATATTTTAACACACATAAACAAGAGTACAAGACTAAACATAGATAACAAAAGCTTTATGAAACCTAGAACCAATGTCAAAACAATTACAAACACATACTAAATAAAAATAAATAAAATAATGAAAGATACAATCAAATACCAGGATTTGGACAAGCGGCGACCAGATCATGATTGCCACGATCTAGGCAAGAGGCGGCCAGATCGGGTTGCCAAAGTTTGGGTAGATCTAGGCCGCCAAAGTTTGGGCAGCTCTAGACTCTTGGAGAAGGGAATGGGGAGAGAAAGAGAAGGATGAGAAGAAAGAATAAAGATGAAGAAGAAAGGAAGAAAAGAGAAAGAGAAGAGAGGTGACGAAGGAGAAATAAGAAAAGAGAGGACTCAGCTGGCAAAAAAAGTTAGGGTAAGAAATTTGAATTTTGGAGGGTGTAAATGTCACTGTTACATAGTTTAGTAGGCAAATGGTAAATTACATATATCCACCAATAGTTGCAAAACTTGCATATATACCTTATCAAGCTCTAGTAAGCTCACGAGCCGCTCGAGTCGAGTATTTGATTTTTGAATTCGGCTCAACGTGACACTTGACCTATTGGAGCTTGGGCTCGAGCTCAGCTTGGCTCACCTAACACCCGTAGGTTATCTTGGGTTAAACACTTGCTTATACACTCTATGTAAGGAGTTTTCATTGTTGTATGAAATCAACCTTGGATTGTAAAAGCGTGGGGCTCACTCTTGGGGTTTTGGGCATTTTTAGTGAGAGAAAGTAAGTCATAGTGTGTGTGAGAGATTTCAATGACACCCTGTGAAACAATTTCATGTAATAGTTTCATAACACCTGGAGGAAATCTTTTTGTATTGGATTTGCTTGGTTGGGTGATCAACCAACGGAGATAGTGGAATACTCTAAGAGAGAAAGCTTAGAGGAATGGAGGTAGGTTAGGTTGGGATCAAACCACTTTATATCATTTGTGTTTGCTTTTCTCTTTCCTTATCTCTTTACTTTTGTGCAATTTACTTTGTATTTGTGCCTATTTGATTGCCTATAATTGTTCACATTCACAAAGTGCACTAGAAGAGACCCCGAGTCACAAATTGTTTGGATTTACTCATATAGCTAAAAAGTAACCGTAGGAGATTACAAAACCTACATTACAAAACCTAATTCAACCTTATAAATAAGCTAGTAAACTTAATGTAATATATGTATGAGGGAGATTATTTTTGTGGCGTTACAAATAAAATTGAAAAACATACAATTGCTCTCGAATTTGATGTAATCTCTTGGGCAATGAAATTGTAACGCCCACTTTGAGGTACATCGTTTACTCAAGTTTATTTGTCTTTTAAATGTTGTATGTTGGCCTAAGTTAAATGGAAATGAGTTATTGTTGCTTTTATGCCCTTTGTTTTGCTTGTTTCAAGGGAAAAGATTGAAAAATCGACAATTGCAAACTTCGCCGCGGTAATGAACTTTTTTCCACATTGGTGTCAGAACTTCGCCGAGGCGAAGAACTCTTTGGATTTTTTCGCCGAGGCGAAGAACCCTGAGAAAATTCTAGAGAAATCTTCCTTAGGGGCAAAATGACTATTCTACCCCTAATTAGTTGAAACTGTGAAGAATGGAAAAATAAGAAAATTTGATGGAGAATGTAATAAAGGTAAGGGCATTAGTGTAAATGACTAAAGGACAAAGATGGAATTTCTAATAAAGTGTAAGGGCAAAATGGGAAAGTATGCCTATAATATGAGATATTAAGAGATTAGTCTTATAAACACCTTCATTTTCCTTATTCCACCGCCTCTTCCATTCTCCATTTTCTCTCAATTCTTCACTCAATCTTTCAAGGATTTTTAAGGGCTTTTGGTTGAAACTTGATAAGGAATTGATCCTAAGCAACAAGAGGTAAGAATCCTTGCTCTAGATATGAGATTTATTTATGTAAGCGTTAAGTTCTTACTAAGTTTATGCTTAGGAAATAAGAGAAAGTTTGAGTCCAACAAGTGTAGAGAGCCTTAGTGAAGACTATTCAAGCATAAAGTAAGTAAATCTAGCCCTAACCCCTTGTTTGAGCAAGTAAAGCATAAAGATTGTTTTATGTGCATTTTATATGAAGTCCATATGCTTGAGATTTGTGTGTGAAACTTGTTATTGAGTTTGATGATGATCCATGAATGAGTTTTCTTCATGAGAATGGTTGGTTGAGTTGATAGAAGTTGGGTTGAATTTACAGGGAGTTTAAGAGCATTTATGAAGTGTATTTTCTTGGCTAGGATTTGAGATGATTCAAGGGAGTTTTACTCTCATTATGGATGGTGTACGAAAGAAGAACAAGTATAGTTAAAGTAGACTTGAAGTATGCATGCATGATGTTTCATGAAATGCCTAAGAGAAGCTTGTGCAAAAGTAGAGAAACTTATTTTGTGCAACATAGCATTTTTGCATTGCATAATTGCACTTAAGAAAGAAACATACGCATGAGCCATCCATATGCATATACTTACATATGCATGAGACTTTCAAGAAGGAATAAAGAATTCATAAGAATAAAGAACAAGAAAGAAAAACACTAAAGACTTAAAGAAAGAAAAGGTGTTAAAGAAGAGAAAAGAATAGATTGTTGCGATGGGGAACCCGTGAGTGCTAAGAAGAAGAAATTCCCACATACACGCCACCTTAATTGAGTGGCATACGAAGAAGAAGAATTTGTATGACCCGTAAGAGTGTATGTGGATGAGGGTTGTACCAAGAAGAATTCCTACATGCACGCCATCTTAAATGAGTGGCCTAAGAAGAAAGAAAGAATTTGTACAGTCCGCAAGAGTGCATGTAGATGAGGACTGTACTCATTCATACGGCCAAGTTCCGAATCCATGCATCAACTAAGTCCGATCGGCAAAGAAAAGAAAAGAAAGAATAAGAATAATAATAAGAAAAGAAAAGAAAGAAAGAAAAACAAGAAAGAAAAGAGGAGCTTGAGCAAGCAAGAAAAGAAAGAAAAGAAAAGAAATAGAATAAGAAATAGAAAAGAAGAAAGAAAATGCATTTCTTTGCATTATTGCATATGCATTTCATTCATGCATATTACCATAACTTCCCTCATGGTTGGAGAGAATAGAAATAAAGAATTAGAAAGAACGAACCGAGAGAAAGAAAGAACAGCAAGAATTAGAAAGAAAGAAGGAGCCGTGAGAATTAGAAACGGAGAAAGAAAAGAGAAAGAATTAAGAAAGAAGGAAGAAGAAAAGAAATAAGTAAGGAAAGAACCAAAGAGGAAGTTGCAGGGATAGAAGAGAAAAGGATTTTTATGCTCACCCGGTTGTTTTTTCATGTTTTGCAGGAAATATGTTAGAAGCGGTCGGATGGACATCGAAAAGCAGAGAGAAATGACATCACTGTCCACCGTTGCTAATCTGTACATGTTATCTTGGGTATATGTAAAGAATTATATTTTATAAGTAAAGGAAAATATGGGTCCAGCTATTTTTCATATGCTATATATGTATGTTTTTATCGTATATGTTCTAAAGTATACTAGTAGAAAGTAGTTATTATAGAAATCTTTTCAAAGAGAATTCAAATTCATATGTTTTCATTTTTTATTTTTAAATTATATGCCCCTAAATTAAATTTTTTTTTTTTTGGTCTAATTCTTCTAAGAGTATGTTTAAGATTATTGTATCTTAAGCGTTAATCACTTCATTTTATACTACAACATTAAAAGTGTTTGGTAACACTAGTTAAAAGTGATTGATGTTGAAGTTGATTAAAACAAAATTTGATTTATAAATGATTTTCAAAAATTAGGAAGGGTAGATTTGAAAATCAGATTTAAAAAAAAAAAAAAAAAAAAAGAAGTGATTTTATATATGTACAGTGACGGATATACCTTATTTATAATATATTAAATTAAAAATAATTTTATAAAAATCAATTAATCAATCAATCAATCAATCAAATAAAGTAATTTAATAAAAATTTTAAAAAATAAACAGAGCATTAGACTAAGACTGCTTAATATTTCACAATTTTTTTTTGTTAATTATAAATAAATTATTTATATATTTTAAATATTTATAAAAGAGTTTTATAATTATAAAAAACATTTAGTACAAATTATATTTGTAACATTAATTTGAAAGTCTAATTCATCAAACACATGTTTATAGCTTTTGAAACTTACAAGTTACAACCTTAAGAATAAAATTTTATCAAAAAAATTCCAAATTATTTTGAAAGTTGAAAAATGATTAGATCTAAAGCCTTAAGTACGTCTATTTTTTTATAATTTTTCATTTATTAATACTTTTTTGTAATTATTTTAAAAGCAAATAAATCATTACTATTATTTAGAAAACAGGTGTCAAGAATCAAAGAGTAGTTTATCTGCTGGGAGTAGCCTCACCTCCTTTCTCTTTACGAGTTGTTACAGGCTCGGATCCACTTCAATCCGGAGCCCAAAGTAATACGGGCCAGTCCATTTATTCTAAATGGGCCAGACAAGGTGAAGAAACAATTAAATCCACCTCAATATAAAAATATTTAAAAGGATAAACAACTGATAAAGTGAGCTGACAGAGTAACAATGGCTTCTCTTCAGCTCAGTCTTCCCTTCTCATCGGCTAGCCGGTTCAGACACCGGCCGGTTCTTTGTGCTAACGAGCGCCAGGTGCTCTTTAACCGCATTGCTCCCGTATATGATAACGTGAGTCAACTCCACTTGTTCGTTTCGTTGCACTTAGCTTTTATTCATTTAACGGTTTCTTTAAAATTTCCTATTTTTCCTTTTTTATGGGAAATTGCAGTTGAATGATTTATTGAGTTTGGGTCAACATCGAATATGGAAGCGAATGTCTGTATCCTGGAGTGGGTATGCAATTTTATATATTTTTGAGTTTTTGTTATTGAAATTTTATGCTGAATATTGAAATTTTGGAACAGAGCAAAATCTGGAGACAATGTGTTGGATGTATGTTGTGGAAGTGGGGATCTGACATTTCTTTTGTCTGAGAAGATTGGGCCTGATGGCAAGGTTTCTTCTCTTTCTTTGCCTTTGAATCTATTTTCGTTTGTGTCTCAATGATACAATCAAATGATTTTACTTTTCATATCAAAACTTGGTTTCTTTTTCTGAGTATGTGCTGCAGCACGAGGCGCATCAATATGGTGTACAATAACAGAAAGGAACCTATACAGTCTTTTTTCTCTGCTTTCAAAATAAAATAATATTCTGATTTGCATGCTGATTTATTCATATTAGTATTATTGATCCTTTACCGCATTCATTTTACATAGTAGAAATTGTTTGTGTGATTTTTATTTTTCTGGTCAAAATTTGCAGGTGAGAGGTCTTGATTTCTCAAAGGAACAATTGTCAATAGCTTCATCGCGGCAGGAGTTGCTCAGAAAGTCCTGCTACAAGAATATAGAGTGAGCATTGGTAAATCTAGCTGTTGAAGGATTCAGTAACCTGCATATAACTGTTAAAAATTAGGAAACTCTATTTCATGTATATGGTCATGAAGTTTGCCAAAGTTTCTTGTGTACAGGAAAATGATCATTAAATCCTTCTAAATTTCATCTGTAGCTATTAAATTTTAATTTTTGCAGTAACATTAGTAGTAGTAACTGTCCCAAGGAAGTAATATTTTCATTCATGTAGGTGGGTTGAAGGTGATGCTCTTGATTTGCCGTTTTCTGATTGTTTCTTTGATGCTATTACCATGGGTTATGGGCTACGAAATGTGGTAGATAAACATAAAGCCTTTGAGGAGATGTTTCGAGTTCTAAAACCAGGTTTTGCCTTATACCCCCTTCCTTCTGTACAGGAATAAGAAATAATGAAAGTAAAATGCAACATGATGAGGGTTTTGCTTTCTTCCTGGGATTTGCAGGCTCTACAGTATCTGTCCTTGACTTCAACAAAAGCACTCAACCATTTACTGCCACGATTCAGGTATTCAATAGAAATAACAAATGTCGTTCTTATGTTGGTTTCTAACTCACTTTCTAGCTTGAGATACTAATTCATGTTCTGGCCTTTTTGTATATAATTGAATTTAATCTAGTGTTGCGATTCGATCTTATGTTTGTTGGATCAATAGTTCAGAACTAATTTTCATCAGCTGCAAACATGTTAAACTAAATTTTCTACATTTGTTTTCTTTTCTCAAGGAATGGATGATTGATAATGTTGTTGTCCCAGTGGCAACTGGTTATGGCCTTGCTAAGGAATACGAGTATTTGAAGAGTTCAATCAAGGAATTTTTAACAGGTTTATTCCTGCTCAAAAACTGTTAGTGAAATTTCTTTTCTTTTATGTTGTTGTGAGATAATCGGTTTAATATCCCAAAAATACCTTCAATAACTCATGTGCTATCTATTGTTAGACAAATTGTTGACTGACCATATGCTGAAATTTTTGAAGAAGAACACTCTTTGATTGTAAATTTTCTTGGTGATTTGTTATAAAGACATTTTCTCTGTCATTGGCCATAGCCTTATACTGGTTTTTTCATTTTATGTAGGGGAGGAGTTGGAGAAGCTTGCTCTGGAAGTAGGATTTTCTAGAGCTAAACATTATGAGATCGGTGGAGGCCTCATGGGGAACTTAGTGGCCACTCGTTAACTTCGAGTCCGTTTGTTTTATTATTTTGGATAGGATTTTGGAAATAATATTGGATAGTTGAGTAGGGTTATTATTACGAGAATAAGATTTGAAGAATATGTGTTTGGTAGAGTATTTTGACCTTGTTATTTGTGTTGAATATTTGATTGATATATTTTTTTATAAATGATTTATTAATATAATATTTTGGTGCATTTTGTTAAAATAATGTATTATTATAACCTTAAAACTTATCAATTTATATTTTAATAATATTAAACATTTTATTGGTAATTTTGTAACCAGTAAATATTAAAAAATAAAAACCCATATTAATTTCAAGTACTAATTCAATTGTTTAAAAACATTACATTAATACATATATGACAAAAGTATTAATTATCAACCCTTACAATCGTTCTTACATGTGTACTCCATTAACAACTACGATATGATCTACTGTGCTGCCCACAGTGCATTCGTTATGTTATCTCGTACAGTCGTCATGTTGTCTATAGTACCTTGTTGCGGTTGACTCAGTCTTTCTCCATTTCGGCCATCTTCTGCCCCATTTTGGTGAGCACAATAGACTTGCTCATTACTCGTATTTTCAGTATATTGTTCGAAGATAGGGTCCTCCATATTGTACATTCTAATAAAATTATGAAGTACACAACATGCTATAACAATTTTCCCTTCCTTGTTTGTCAAACGGGTAATTATTCATTCTATTCAGAATACAGAACCGTCTTTTCAAAACACCAAAGGTTCTCTCGACAACATTACAGAGTGAAGCATGTTTGTAGTTAAACAACTCTTGTAGCCCCCTTTGGTTATGGCGGTGATTAGAAATATAGTAAGCCACTCGCTTGTGAGGGGCGAGGAACCTCTCTCTATTTGGATAACCCACATCAACCAAATAGTATTTTCTTATGATAAAATCAGACATGTTATTTGAATTACAGGGCCTCAACAGTGGAGTAAATATGCTATAATATGTCAAGAAAATACTTATACTTGGTGGAGGATGTGGGAATCCAGAATTAGGATCATCAAGAATTGAATTTAAAACTCTTCAATCATGCATAGATCATTCCCATCCAGTAACGACATAAGTGAACATCATCCTAAAGTCGTATGCAGCCATTACATTATGTGACAATGTTCCTTTGCGATTCCGGTACCTATCGGCAAATTCATGTGGAATCAAAGCGTATATATGTGTGCCATCAATGGCTCCAACAGTCCTATCATCAAAATTGAATTTTACTCATATTAATTGACTATCAACATTAATAACACAATGAATTTAACTATCCACTGATAGAAAACATAATGAACCAGTACCTTAAAGAAAGGGTAATATTTTCGATTGGCTGATATTTCCAATGGAGCATCACTGAAGTCAGGTGCTCTGATAAACTCTGTCTTTAACTCACATATCGCCTCGCAAACTGCGCCAATATATCTAGAGATCGTCTCACCCGAATGTTGGAAATCCTCCATCATCGTTCTGATTGTCTTATTTTTACCAACGATTGTTAGAAATATCATAACTTGTTCTTCCAAACTCGTCTTCCTGGTTGGTTGCAATATGCCTTGCTCTGACAAAATGTCACATAAGTATGTGAAACAGTCTTTGTTCATGCGGCACTTGTCAAAGATCATGTCAGCATGACCATTGAGTACTTCCAACATGTACTCATGACCAGTTAATATGGATGTATGTTGTAGTTGACACCCAGTTGTTTCTAATGCGGCAACACCGCAGAGTGCAATGGCTATATCTGTCAGTATTTCTTCTTCGTCATATGTAGAACGTTGTCTTCTTCCTATACGGCTAGACGATGCCATTTAAACCTACACATTTGCAAAACATTGATCAACAATTAACAGTTGTTGTACTACTTATCAAAATATAATAGTCAATATTTAATTCTAATGACAATCCAAAACTCATATGAAACATGTAATCTGACATAAAACAGTAGCACAATTAATAAGTTCATACAATAGTTTTATAAATTCTAATTCTAATTCTAATGACAAGTACCCACTGACGCATACAAAAGTGTTGGCAAACACTTAGGACATACAGTGTCATCTACAAATTGCGAAAGTCGTTAACAATCCAATTAGCCTTTTCCTCGGGCGGGAGTTTCACGAATATCTCTCGCCACCCTGTATTTTGATATAAGTACTTGACAACTGGCATGTAAAACTATATAGGTACTTGCATGGCCGTCATGATGTCAATACAATTGCTCATGGAAAATGGATCAGATGGACCATTGGTTTCTCTTCGTCCCTCTCATCTCCATTGCGATTGCTAGCCCTTGATCCCATAGTCCGCTTTTCCACAAGCTCTTTCGTCAATCTACCAATGACATCCGCAAGTGATTGTCCAGGGCCGCTTCTATTCCTCTTATTTCTTGCTCTTCCATGGCCAGATGTGTTTGGCCGTTTTTCCCCTGTCATCCGATCTGGATCAGGTTCAAAGTCGCTATCATCCATGGGAATTGTGCCTTGATTGGAATAAGTAGAGGTCTCCATCGATTGAGATGTAGATGTGTACGCATATCTCCCAGTGGCAGTTTGCTTCTCAAATATGATTTCATAAAACTCCTTGTGAGAAAATCCCTTGTGGTAGAATTGTTGCGCCTGTGGGTTTTGCTGGTAATGTAAAAGAATAATATATTAATATTTAGCAGTCCGAAAAAAAAATACGTACAATCACGATGTCATTGATTAATATTAGTTGAAAAAGTTGAAAATTTACCTTGACATATTCTTGCCAAACCTCTACAGGACACGTTGGACTTTGTGACTCATGATCCCACCTGAACCCCGTGTGTTGCAACAATTTTCGCCATGCTTGATATACTCTTTGCAGGCGAAAGTACTTAGAGGTTAGTTGTGACGTTGAGTATCCTCCCAGCCACTGATGATAAGTCGTCCAACATTTCCTGGTAATCTGCTGTTTTTATTGAAGTACCGTACGAAGTTTTCGCCCGCTCAGACAACAGGACCAGAAATTTGTGGGTCATCTCAGCAGACTAGTTCATGTTATCACTCATCTAAGGACAGTACGATGAGAACGACAACCAACATTAGGACACCATACGAATCACCAATCACATTACAAATAGACATACGCACATGTAAACGTAATCAAGTAAACATAGATAAAGTTATACCTCGTTCGATTCGACACTGCTTGAAGACGTCAATGCAGGGGAAGATACAGACAATGTCGACCAAAAGGGTGTATGACGAACTCCAAGTCTGGAAAAACGTCGAAACTTTCGCCTCTGCTTCAAGTAGCAATCAATCTTGCGACGTCGGGACAAATTATACTGACATCTGTGCATATGAGTGTTGATGTCGAATCTACAGAACAAATATATCAGTTAGTGAAATCCAAAAAAAAAATATTTCTAATAATCTAATAATTTTTTACTCCCAAAATTTATCCATTACATACAGTTTGTTACATACAGAACATATGAAGCTGCACAATATTATGACGCATGTGCTAAACACTGTAATCAAAATGGCACATGCTCTAACTGTTAAACCCCGCAAACAAATCCACAGATCCAAGTTTCTCATGTGCAAAAAACACTTTGAGTTCACCAATTATAAAACGCATTATTAAAGTCCAAATTAAAAGGAAAAAATAGTACTAACACAAAGCCAAAATAAAAATAAAAATCAGGACAATTGCGTTGAGTGTCTTGAAAACAAACACATCACGAAAGCTGAGAAACTGGATTTGCAAACTTTGCGGGTCTCTTTCCCTTCTCCGAATAAATTCACGGGTACAATAGATTTACAAACCTGCAAAACAAAAAAAATCAACAGATTTACAAACTCGACTCACAAACAAATTCATGCGCACATCTTTTGTACAACAGATTTACAAACCTGCAAAAAAAAAAGAAGCAAAAACACCTTTCCCATTCAAAGTGTTCCCTTCATGGAAGTCAAATCTTTCCGGTCATGGTGTTCACGGGTTTGTGGCTTCATGGTGACAGATATGCGACGTACGTGGGTGGTTGCGGTGGGGTTGTGACGATTGGAGACATTGGGGCTTCATGGTGACAGATTTGCGACTTAAATGGGTGGTTGCTGTGGGGTTGTGACGATCGGAGACATCGGGGCTTCACCGTGGTGGATCTACGACGTATGTGGGTGGTTACCGTGGGGTTGTGACGATTGGAGACGTCGGGGCTTACAGTGGTGGATCTGCAACGTACGTGGGTGGTTGCGATGGGGTTGTGACGATCGGAGACGTCGGGGCTTCACGGTGACAGATCTGCGACGTCGGTGGTATTCATGGTGGGTTTGCGATGATGGTGATGGGTTGTGGTTGTGTGGTTATGTTGTGATGATGTTGGCAGATTGATTGGGTGGTGCTGTGGGGTGGTTTTCTGATTCAAGTGGCTGGTCGTTTGGCTAATGTGCTTTGTTTTCTATTTGCAGGTGGAAGATTATGTTGGAGAAGAATTTGTTGGGAGGGTAGCAAGATGGTTTGTGACGGTGGTGAAGCACTGAAGTAGTGATCCAAACTGAGAAAGTGAAATGGTGAAGCACTAAAGCAGTGAAGAAAAGTGAGAAAGTGAAATAAAAGTAGGACTGCAAACTGTCTTCAACAGTAAAAAAACTATCAGGAAACTGTCAGGATTCTATTTTCAGGATTGCATTGTCTGATTAATAAGCCAAACGTTATTTGTAAAATCAGGTTGAGAATATGGGTAAAAATATTGAACCAAATGCACCCTTCATTTTTCTCTGGCTACTTTTTTTCCACATTTGTCTTCTGATTAAAAATCACCATTTCTTTAGATAGTTGTATTTCGAATGTGGGTTTTGAGGTTTTTCCCCAAGTTGTGGAACAATTGTTGCAACAAGATAAATTCAAGTGCTTCCTCGTTCCTTTTCCAAACTTGGATGATGCTAAATGGATCATAATAATATTACGTAATTAAATTAACTATCTTGTCCCATGAATTTCCACAAAATTCGATGAACTGGGAACATTTTGTAGTAATCAAACTGTCAAAGTAATAAAAATTTCATAGCAGAACATGGGATGCAGCAGGTGGCTCAAGAGTGCTGTGCATCTCTATTTAAAGATGGACGATGTGTCGTTCACTCTTTTCAAAGGCGGACGGTTTGTCACTTTAAATTTTTTAAATTGCTAAAATGTCGATGATTTGTCGCTCATTGTTTCCAGTATGTGAATGGCTTCTATGCCGATGGGTTGATCACATATCAGTCACTGTTTTCATAGGCGGCTGACAAGTCGTTTACTTTCTGCTTTCATTGCTTTTAGCAGTGGAATAATTACTGGCGAGGCCGAGAACTCTCCCACAACTATTTGTTGGGAATGAGAATTCCATCACTGCATTCCTATTCTAATTTTAGGATAAAAATACAAATGTCATGTTTAGGCACATATGATGGTTTGCTCATTTTGATCTTCTGCTATTGCCTATTATCACTCAAACTTGTTTAAGATAATTACATCCTAAAACGGCCAATAATGGAACATATTTACAGGTAACTTGTACTGTTAGGCACTAAAGCCTCACTGTCCAACGTGTATCAACTTATAACAAACAAAATAATAATAATTTACAGTGGTAAAACACCCTCTCACTCTCCCATAGAATTGGAAATTTTGGCTTTACTAACCTCAATATTATATCTACAATCCTCTGTGTTGCCAATGTTTCATATATATGCTTGCTTAGTCCCAGCACAAGGCCACCAAGATGGTTACGTAAAGTCTGCTGACTGCTGATAGTCTCAGATTTCTGGGGGCTTCTCACTTCTAATCAACATCTTGAATATTTCTGTGTTTAGTGAAAATTCCAACTTTTCTTTGTTTGGGTCATCTAGGATAGAAGGAACTATGGGTAATACTGGCAAGTGATGCAAAAGCGCCAGAATTCAAGGGATGGCTTGGGTCCTCGCAAGTGTCATTTAGTTCCATAGTTTTTTCATCTGTGAAGGGGGGACTAGTGGGTGCAGGGAGGTGTTCTTCCTTCTTTTGTAGCATCTGTAGCACCTTTGACATTGTTGGTCGCAATGACGGGTTCTCTTGAGTGCAGAGAAGTCCTATTTGCACCACTCTTAACATTTCATCCTTAACAACGCTGTTATCACAGTTGTTCAACATGAGATTTCTGTCGTAAAGTTCCTCAACAGTCCCTGCTTGAAAATGCTTCCAAGTCTGTTTTGCCATTACAGAAAAACGAATGTGAAATTTTTAGTTTAGTAATTAATAAACTGTTAACAGAAAATAAAAAATTGGATTGATGAAAGTTATTGGACATACAATTGTCAGTAGACTGTCAGAGTATTCTGAGGTTTTGCTCCTGTTGTTTGGCCTTCCAGTAACAGTTTCCAACAAAAGTACACCAAAGCTGTATACGTCTACCTTTTCTGTCAACTGGCCGTGGGCTAGGTACTCTGGAGCCATGTATCCTCTGAAATTATAAAAGGAATTAGTGCTTTGGACATGGCTAGATGAGTTGAAACCAGATCAAATTATTAATGACTTTATACTTACAAAGTTCCTGCTATGGCTGTGCTGATGTGACTTTTATCTTCTTGGAAAGACCTCGCCAACCCAAAATCGGCAATTTTAGCACGTAGTTTTGTATCCAACAAAATGTTGCTTGCTTTTATATCTCTGTGAATGATTCTAGTCTTGGATTCCTCGTGAAGGTAGACTAAACCCTCTGCTGTCCCAACGATAATTTCATATCTCTTCTCCCAGTTCAGTGTTTTACCTCTTGTTGAATCTGTCATGTCATTAGAAAAGCACTATATAAGAACAAGTAATCTGCAGCTACCATGTCATATATTACAGACTTCAGTCAGGTTCAGAATTCAGTGTAACAGTGTATTGCTATACAATTGAGAAAAAATGTTGTTCAAAATAGTAAATATTCAATAAACCATCTATGAAATGCCAAAATTCACTCTCATTAATTTATTAATTACCAAAGATGAAGCGATCAAGGCTCTTGTTAGGCAGGAACTCATAGACAAGAAGGCTTTCAGGTCCTGAAGCACTGCATCCCAGCAATCTGACCAGATTTTTGTGTTCTACGCTGCTTATAATGTTAACTTCATTGTAGAAATTTGCTACTCTGTGTTTGTTGTTATAGAAAAGCCTCTTGACAGCAATTTCTCTTCCATCAGGCAGAACACCCTGCAGTGAAAAAAAAAAAAAAAACTCAGACAAAATAAGGCAGAATAGTTTTATAATCTTTTAAATTGGAACAAATAAAAATTAAAGATAAACATAGGGGACAATTACCTTATAGACTGTACCAAATCCCCCTTGGCCAAGCTTGTTGGCATCGTCAAAAGATTGTGTAGCTCTCTCAAGTATAGAGTATTTAAAGTTCAAACTTTTATCTTTAAGAGTTTTCACCAATTTTTCTGCATCATTTGAACCTAGAAGGAAAGAATAAAACAATAAAGAAGATAAGAAACTTGAAAATAACAATATAAGCAATAAAATACCACATTGTACTTGCTTTACTTTTTTATTTCCCACGATATTGATGACATAACATAACATTTCAGGAATTATAGGAGGCTAAACGAATGTGTAGTATAAGAACTCCCATTGGAACAACATATTCTGATAACAAGGGAGAATCACAGTAGCATTCATTATTCTGTGTGCCTGATATTTTATTCCAAGACGCAGAAAATGCATATAAAACAAGCTTTTTACCTCTTCTTTTCTTTTGTATGTATCTCTGCTTCCAGATATGAGCTCCAATAACTATTACAACTGCCACAACCACCAAGGAACTGACTGCTGAAACTACTATCACTATTATGGTCCCTGCATAATTTATTGATGAAAAACCGTGATGAGGTCAAATTTATCAGCATAGGAAGTTACTTGTCTGTAAAATTACAAGCTTCATCATATCACAACTACTTCTTACCTCTATTGCTTCCATTTCCCCGTTCTTTGTTAAGGAAATTTTTTTCTGAATACCTCAAGAAACACCCGGTATTCAGTGCTCGACCCTCTGACCAAGGCAAGCACCCCAATACAGACACAGAGGCATTCTCCAAGCATGCTTCACATGAGCTCTTATTCAGGTTCTTCCAGCAATTAGCCAACACATAAGCTGACTCATTGGAACCTGAAGCAGCTATCTTAGCTCGCGCATAATTTCCATGACTAGGTGCAGAAGCAACTGCACGCATCACAGCCTGCCTAGCTGATTCTTGAAATTTTGAATTCTTTCTTGTTGTGTTCCCACAAACTGCCAGGTCTCCAGAACCTGTATACTCTTCAAAGAAGCTATAATTCTCTGATCTCATGAAGCATCCATCAAGGAAAATCCGACCTCCATTGTTGGGGAAACATTGGGGAAGAAGTGTACGTGCCTCGGCATAACATAATACACAATCTAATAAAGAGAGGTCTCCATAACATTGTGCAAGCCCATAGTTTGTGTTTGGTCCTGAACCTGTAACTGCCTCTCCAAAACCAGTTGTTCGCATTTGTTCACTAATATTTTCCATTGTAGCAACAAAATTAGGCACAAAAATAGTTGTGTTGTGCTCCAATTGGTTTCCACACATCATTTTGACAGTTTGAGATCTTGGATCACCCACTGCCCTTTCTAGTAACAAGAGATATACCCATAGGAAGAATAAAATGCATTGGGAATGGACCAATGTGATTTCTTTCTTCATTTTTCTTCTGGGGTGAATTTGGACTTGTAAAACTTCCTCAGAACTTCATTATAAACCTGTTCAAGATGGACTTCCACGTATAAATGATCAAGTAACCATCAAGTGCCAACCAGTCAACCAGTGAAGATGTGATAGAGAGAACAGAAGTAACTAGAACCATTCAAGGTGAATTCAAGTGAAACAAAGAGTAAACAAACCACAATTGGCAACAAATCAAACCTTAAAGAACTAATATATAATGGTTTCAATTCATCATGAATTTTGGCTTTTCAGCTTCGTTGATACAAAAGACGACTTCATCTAGAACACTAGAGATAGAGAAAGCTAGAACCCTGGATAGGAACAGAGTTCGACCACAGAATACAGAAAGGATGTTAGTGAACGGTCATTAAAGTTTTGACAACACGTTTTCAAGTTTGAACATATGGCCCGTTCATAACCGCTACAAATTAGTCAAAAAAGTCAGGGGCCGGAAGCCTTTTAAGTCTTTGTTTCACACTTGAGCAAGTGCTTTCAGAATCTAGTTTCACAGCTATCCTTAAAATCACACGGTTGAGAGATCCTGACTCAACTGGCTACACTATAAATTATCTTTGCTCTAGTATTAGCTTCCGATAATGAATGCAATAATTCACCACATTAAACCAAAAGACAAAAGTTATTCAAAGGTGCAGCACTTTAAATTGACAGCACCAAATATTCTTTATATTAAATAAAGGAACCCCAAAAACAGGCCAGACGTCGGAAGTAAAATGGCTTTAACTGGGGCAATTCAGATTTTGGCCATGTCGTCATCGATGATCGAGTTATGAAGACTATTGTATTTACCCCTCTTATTATTTCCTGAACCCCCATTTCTCTAGAATCTCTACACATATAAAACCTTTTAAATTATGTTCTTCTTTTTTGTTTTAATCACATCGATAAATATACATGACTTTTTAAATTGACAGAGTACAATGAAAAGATTCTAACGATGTTGAAACAAATTATAAGTTAATTTATTTATTATTTACCAAATGGAAAAGTTTTGAGTTGATTTTTGTATGATATGAATATTTGTATTCTAAATTGTAATTTGATTTTAAAATTAATCATTTGGGTAAATTTTTCTTAAAAAATGAGATGTAAATTTGGTGGGCCTAAACATAATTACCAATTATGAATGCCCGGTACAGACAGCCAACTCTAATAAATTGTAGAAAAGTAACGGGCTCCACAGGGAATGAGATGACACCGCCAGCAAGCAAGCAAGCCCATCAATAACTCAACTATTCCCTTCCTCAAACTCAAAACTCTCTAGAAGTTTTGCGTATACCCCACTAATTATTAGCCACCTAAGTGCATATGCAAACTTTAAACCAACCAATCCGTTTGCTCAACCATTATTATATCAAACTATAAATTTTTGTAAAGTTGTAAACCTTATTTCATATTCTTTGTTCTATACGCATGCCATGGAGATTCAAAATTTCTTCAGTATCAACTTATATAAAAAAAGATTCGAAGAAAATTCGGTTAATATATTAAAGAAACATGATGATTAATCTCAAGTTTGAAGATTCCATTGCGATAAAACTAGTCTATCAAACAAAAGCGAATTTCATAGATTTCTGCAAAACTGATCCGAACTATCTTCCATTACTTTTAAAAAAAGAAAATGAAGCGGAAGCTAAGAAGGAAATGAAGGTTGATACGAGTTTAGATGAGAGGTGTTACCTGTTTGTCTGTGAATTGATGAGTTGCTGAAGGCAAGCTGTGAATTGTGAGTGAGATCCAGTCCAGGGATTCGGAAATTGGAAGCTGGTAGCGCGAAAACGAAGATGAAGATGAAAAAGTAGAAAAAGGAATTCTTAAATTAAAAGCAAAATTATTGTTTATCTAGAGTTGAACAGGCAATGGAAAAAACGCGGTCTCTGACCCAACTTGTTAGATTTGAGTGTGTGGAATTATAATTCTACCCTTAGCATTATACCTTTGTGATTATTTCTTAATTAACATTTTTATTCGTAAATCATATTCATGAGATGTCATGATTCATAATTAATCATGTTATGGTTGAAACATTCCAATATTTTATTAAGTATATGATTAAATGCAATTCAGGTCAGTTTTATGGAGAATATAGTAATTAAGATACCGCAGCAATATACAATATAATTTGACTAAACGCATCCTGCCAAATCAAGCAAGAAATTTTTAAAGCTGTAGGTACCTCGTGAACCCCAAAAGCCAAGACTTATGACAACCACCACGACTTTTGGCATCTGGTTTGACTTATGTAAGGGTTGACTGATGAACCAAATCAAACGGCTATGCTCTTTGATAAGGGATGAATCAGATCTTTGTCTCGGACGCATGATCCAATTGAAAAAGTTTAAAGTATTATCTCTTGTGCAAAGCTTAAATGTTGCAGGTTTTTTCATTGCACTAATTATCCCAAGCAGCAGAGTTTCAATAAACGACAGAGGGGCTTGATACTGGTGCAGCTGCTCCAGAAATTGNATTCTGTAATTAAAAGCAAAATTATTGTTTATCTAGAGTTGAACAGACAATGGGAAAAACGCGGTCTCTGACCCAATTTGTTAGATTTGAGTGTGTGGAATTATAATTCTACCCTTAGCATTATACCTTTGTGAATATTTCTTAATTAACATTTTTATTTGTAAATCATATTCATGAGATGTCATGATTCATAATTAATCATGTTATGGTTGAAACATTCCAATATTTTATTAAGTATATGATTAAATGCAATTCAGGTCAGTTTTATGGAGAATATAGTAATTAAGCAATATACAATATAATTGACTAAACGCATCCTGCCAAATCAAGCAAGAAATTTTAAAGCTATAGGTGCCTCGTGAACCCCAAAAGCCAAGACTTATGACAACCACCACGACTTTTGGCATCTGGTTTGACTTATGTAAGGGTTGACTGATGAACCAAATCAAACGGCTATGCTCTTTGATAAGGGATGGATCAGATCTTTGTCTCGGACGCATGATCCAATTGAAAAAGTTTAAAGTATTATCTCTTGTGCAAAGCTTAAATGTTGCAGGTTTTTTCATTGCACTAATTATCCCAAGCAGCAGAGTTTCAATAAACGACAGAGGGGCTTGATACTGGTGCAGCTGCTCCAGAAATTGCTGCGTAGTTGCACGATTTGATGGATTGTACAATTTTATATTACCATAAATTAAGGATTTTACTGACATTGCCATGTAATGCATGCCGAAGCATTACACCATTTTCTTCTTAATTTATTCATATGGCCAAACTGAAACCAAGACATTAAATTAATTAATAAGAATTCAGATTAATATACAAGATCAATCAATGTACACATTGCACATCAAACAGTTTCTAAGAGCAAAGCCACCATATAGAAAGAGTAACCGAGTATAGATCACTTATACTGAAGAAAAAAAATGTTGCGCCGCTTTATATATTACTTACAGAAAAAATAACATCCTACTCTTGACCATTTAGCTAAAGATTTAGTACATAATATACAACCTGGTTGTCTTTGATGAGTACATGCTGTATTGCTGAATGCCTGAGTCGCTTTATATCCCCTGATAGTAAACAGGGTCATAGAGGGACAAAAACAGCTAGCTTGCAGAGTTGAGTGAACCAGTTCACATAAAAATCATCTCCAACTGTAAAAGGAAGCGAAAGGGCGAGTGATGAATGAAACTAAGTGGTTGTGGTGGTTTTAGAATAAACAGGCAACAGTATACTGAATGGTTTTAGAAGTAACAGCTCATCTAGGTTCAATCCAACTTTCTGAGGTGCTATTCCCTTGAGACTGGATGTAAGACCCGGGCTTAGAATTGCAAGTTGTAGGACTAGTCGGTGAGCTAATTTCTGCACTAGTAGGGTTAAGGAAGGGGGGCTGCGTTGGCTGAGGTATTTCATGATTATTTGTGAGCATTTTCACAACTATTGACATTGATGGTCGAAGTTCTGCAGAGGCTTGTACACAGAGTAGGCCTATTTGAAGCAATTGAAATGCTTCTTCTTGTTGAATATTACCCGCTAGGACTGGATCAACAGCTTTGTGTACTATTCCTTTCACATAAAGGTCCCAAACCTGATAAAAGCAGACAAAGAAGGAAGGAAAGAGTTTCGTAAGTTGGGAGACTTGAAATTAGAAAACAGTTTTGATTGGATGGTCAACTATTTGATGTGCCAAGTGAAAAGAATTACCATTTGTAGGAGAGAATCTGAATTTTGAATTAAGGCATTGGCCCTCTTTCCACAGACAACTTCAATAACAACAACGCCGAAACTATAAACATCTGCCTTCTCAGTCAGCTTGCCAAGAACAACATACTCTGGGGCCATGTAACCTCTAATAGATGCAAATATTCAGATAATATATGAAAATAAAAATAACATATATCAGTTTACTTATGGATGATTGACAGTAAATTACTAATTATCATGAATGCTAATTTTTTAAATTTTTAACGGTAGGTAGTATAAATTAAGGTTTGAACATCTTCATTAGTATCTCCTGGTCGGAGAAAAAAGAAAAATGACTTCATTACATTTGCGATTTTATAGCAAAGAAAATATATGTCATACTTAAACTGAAATGTGGTTAGTGCAATTTTTTTTCTGAAAACTATCGGACATAATTAAAGAAGGTTTGAACTTACAGCGTGCCAGCAATGGCAGTGCTCATGTGAGTCTTATCTTCTGGAAAAAATCTTGCGAGTCCGAAATCAGCAATCTTGGCATTTAAGTCTTCATCAAGCAAAATATTGCTAAGTTTTATGTCTCTATGTATTATTCTCAAATTCGATTCCTCATGAAGATAAGCCAAACCCTCAGCTGCACCTAATATGATCTTATATCTCAACTCCCACCTCAGAGGCTCAATATCCTTTCTACCTGAATTAAATTAATAAAGTAACAATTAGAGAAGATTAATAAAAAGATCTTTCTCTAAATAAAAATCCAAAGATGAGATTATCAACCAAAGAGGGTATCATGAAGGCTCTGATTCGGCACATATTCGTAAACAAGAAGACTTTCAGGGCCTGTAATGCTGCATCCAAGCAGCTTTACAAGATTTTTGTGATCGATGCCGCTGATCAAACTAACTTCATTGAATAAATGATCCACCCATTGGCTTGTGTTAAAGAAAAGCCTCTTTACGGCAACAACCTTTCCTCCTGGCAAAATTCCCTAATTGACAGAAAGAGATCTATCCTGTGAACTCTTATGTGTAAAGGCATAATTCTATTCAAGGAAAATAGGGGAGAAATTTGACATTACTTTATAAACCGACCCGGATCCTCCTTGTCCCAGCTTACTGGAATCGTGGAAGTAATTTGTGGCCTTTTCAAGAGTTTCATAGCAGAAATTGAGCTTCGATTTATTCACAGAGGTCAGTAAAGCTCCTAGTAGCTTCCGCTCTTTGAAAAAACGACAGATCAAAATAAAAGTAAACTTGGTATCAATCTCTGAGACAAAACTTCTTAAGTCTTAAATAGCTAAGATAAATACCTCTCTTTTTCTTCACAAGTTTCCTATTCACGAAGAAAACAACCAATACAACAACGAGCAAAAGAGCTGCCGCAGAAGATGTTCCCGCGATGATAGCTGTCTTGTTGCCTCCTGGTAACCATTAATATACTACTCTGTCAACAAAATACCCAATGCAGAATTCTAAAGAAGATAATAAGCTTTTATAGTTTCTTCAAGAATAGCAACTTGCAATAGCGAATCAAACTGCCCGACTTATTAAATGGGAAGCTNAACAGGCAACAGTATACTGAATGGTTTTAGAAGTAACAGCTCATCTAGGTTCAATCCAACTTTCTGAGGTGCTATTCCCTTGAGACTGGATGTAAGACCCGGGCTTAGAATTGCAAGTTGTAGGACTAGTCGGTGAGCTAATTTCTGCACTAGTAGGGTTAAGGAAGGGGGGCTGCGTTGGCTGAGGTATTTCATGATTATTTGTGAGCATTTTCACAACTATTGACATTGATGGTCGAAGTTCTGCAGAGGCTTGTACACAGAGTAGGCCTATTTGAAGCAATTGAAATGCTTCTTCTTTTTGAATATTACCCGCTAGGACTGGATCAACAGCTTTGTGTACTATTCCTTTCACATAAAGGTCCCAAACCTGATAAAAGCAGACAAAGAAGGAAGGAAAGAGTTTCGTAAGTTGGGAGACTTGAAATTAGAAAACAGTTTTGATTGGATGGTCAACTATTTGATGTGCCAAGTGAAAAGAATTACCATTTGTAGGAGAGAATCTGAATTTTGAATTAAGGCATTGGCCCTCTTTCCACAGACAACTTCAATAACAACAACGCCGAAACTATAAACATCTGCCTTCTCAGTCAGCTTGCCAAGAACAACATACTCTGGGGCCATGTAACCTCTAATAGATGCAAATATTCAGATAATATATGAAAATAAAAATAACATATATCAGTTTACTTATGGATGATTGACAGTAAATTACTAATTATCATGAATGCTAATTTTTTAAATTTTTAACGGTAGGTAGTATAAATTAAGGTTTGAACATCTTCATTAGTATCTCCTGGTCGGAGAAAAAAGAAAAATGACTTCATTACATTTGCGATTTTATAGCAAAGAAAATATATGTCATACTTAAACTGAAATGTGGTTAGTGCAATTTTTTTTCTGAAAACTATCGGACATAATTAAAGAAGGTTTGAACTTACAGCGTGCCAGCAATGGCAGTGCTCATGTGAGTCTTATCTTCTGGAAAAAATCTTGCGAGTCCGAAATCAGCAATCTTGGCATTTAAGTCTTCATCAAGCAAAATATTGCTAAGTTTTATGTCTCTATGTATTATTCTCAAATTCGATTCCTCATGAAGATAAGCCAAACCCTCAGCTGCACCTAATATGATCTTATATCTCAACTCCCACCTCAGAGGCTCAATATCCTTTCTACCTGAATTAAATTAATAAAGTAACAATTAGAGAAGATTAATAAAAAGATCTTTCTCTAAATAAAAATCCAAAGATGAGATTATCAACCAAAGAGGGTATCATGAAGGCTCTGATTCGGCACATATTCGTAAACAAGAAGACTTTCAGGGCCTGTAATGCTGCATCCAAGCAGCTTTACAAGATTTTTGTGATCGATGCCGCTGATCAAACTAACTTCATTGAATAAATGATCCACCCATTGGCTTGTGTTAAAGAAAAGCCTCTTTACGGCAACAACCTTTCCTCCTGGCAAAATTCCCTAATTGACAGAAAGAGATCTATCCTGTGAACTCTTATGTGTAAAGGCATAATTCTATTCAAGGAAAATAGGGGAGAAATTTGACATTACTTTATAAACCGACCCGGATCCTCCTTGTCCCAGCTTACTGGAATCGTGGAAGTAATTTGTGGCCTTTTCAAGAGTTTCATAGCAGAAATTGAGCTTCGATTTATTCACAGAGGTCAGTAAAGCTCCTAGTAGCTTCCGCTCTTTGAAAAAACGACAGATCAAAATAAAAGTAAACTTGGTATCAATCTCTGAGACAAAACTTCTTAAGTCTTAAATAGCTAAGATAAATACCTCTCTTTTTCTTCACAAGTTTCCTATTCACGAAGAAAACAACCAATACAACAACGAGCAAAAGAGCTACCGCAGAAGATGTTCCCGCGATGATAGCTGTCTTGTTGCCTCCTGGTAACCATTAATATACTACTCTGTCAACAAAATACCCAATGCAGAATTCTAAAGAAGATAATAAGCTTTTATAGTTTCTTCAATAATAGCAACTTGCAATAGCGAATCAAACTGCCCGACTTATTAAATGGGAAGCTAAGAAAATCAACTCATTCATGCTAAAAAATTGCCTAACGTTAGATAAATCTGTCAAATTTCAGAGCTTTACAATCGAAACAATATTAAAAAAATTTCAATAGCAAAAGAACAGAATAGATTGAAACTTAAACAAAACCAAACTCACCTCCAATCTCTATTCTTTCATCAGTTATTGAATTGTTGTAAAACTTTTGTGTCGAATACCTTAAATAACAACCAGCATTCAAGACCCTCCCTTCTTCCTTTGGAGTACATGAACCAATCCTCGACACCGCATTCTCCAAACACTTCTCACAAGCACTTCCATTCACAAACTCCCAACACTGAGCCAAACCATAAACCAATACATTTCCTCTACTCACTGACCCAACAAAGAATCCATCATTTTTAACAGCTTGTGCACTTAAATTCCTCACCAATTCAACAGCATTAGCTCCAAAAACAGTCGTGTTCCCTCCAAAATCTTTAGTTCCACAAACTGTTTTATCCGTTGAACTTAGACTTTCATTAAAGAAGTTATAATCATCGTACCTTAGGTAACACCCATCAAAGAAAAGTCTGCCTCCACGTGTACCTTGCTGAAAAGGAAAGCACGCGAGGATCCGAGTCTTGCACTGAGCAAAACAAAGGTTACAATCATTAAAAGAAAGATCTTTCATGCATTCACCAAATGTATACACCGTGGTGTTGCCAGTACCATTGACAACAGCTGCATATCCTTGTCTGACCATCAGTGGAGTCACTGCCTCCATGGTAGCTAAGAAGTTTGTGACGAAGGGTTGACGTTCTAAAACGGCAGTCCTGTTGGTGCAAATTAGCGCTGCCTGTGTTGCTCTAGGATCGCAAAGAAAAGGTTTCGCGAAGATCGAGAGGAAGATTATAAGTAAAAGTAGGAGATAATTATGGTTAAACATCTGATTAGTTTTAGCCGGTTAAGGGAGGTCAGCTACTCAAGAAAGAAAATATTTATGAAAAAAGAAGATCTTCGAAGAAACCGAGGGAAAAGAAATTATTAGGATGACTTTGGGAAGGTGTGAAATCTATCTGGAATTTTGCAACAGTTGGACCCACTAAAGATGTTAATCAATAATTTTCCTATTTAGAGAGACATAGGGCAAAGCTAACCAATCGTATGAAAGATTTTTTTATGTTGGTGGGATCAAATGCAAAGGTGTGAGGATCTGATTTGGTGAGATTCCAATGTGAAAATAAAACTGCTTCTGCTCAAGTCAAGCTATAGATAGAGCCGGTTGGAACGCGTAGGAAATAATGGTTAAGCCAACTGTCTGTAAGAAACTGGTGATTACCTTCCTCTTCTTAGGATTTCTGGCATTTTGTTCTAAAAAAAAATCAAAACAGAGAAAGAGAACGCGTAGGAAATACAATTCAATTCAAAACGAATTCAGGGTTCTTCCCCAATTTACAATATTCTAAGGGATTTGCTATGTAAGTCATTGAACAGTGCTATGGACCATCCAAAAACGTTCGATGGTCAAATATCTAATCATAGTGTCTTACTGCCTTTGAGTAAAAATACTATATATGATCCCAATTCCCAACCAAGTTTGGAAAGATAAGGTGGGGCTTATAAAAAGTAAAAACCTTATAAATTTTGACACCCCGAACATCCTAGGAACACTTTTGAGCTATTGTATTAATACCGAAATGCTCCACCAAGTTCAGTGAATTGTTTCCTCAGCATTTTCATTTGAGCAGTTGTTGAAAAGTCAATTTCTGAGTTTTATTTTTAATTTTGAAATACTCCTCTATGTTAAAATGCCCACCACAACACTACTAAGATAAGGTTGAATCGTTGAATTTAAGGGGAAATCTCACTTTTTCACTCTTGCTTTACGGCTGGTCGTCGTGGTCGATGGACCAGACTGGATTGGAGCTATGTCTATGTGAATGTAACCATATGATAAACCCAAAATGGAGTTCTCAAACAACGAAATTTATTGTTTGTCTACCAACAGATGATGTCATGCTCTAATAATCACAAAGTAATCATTTTTGTTAAGACTGTTCATGAAATTTTTAATCCAATACATTGCGTGGACAAGATTATATTTAAGTTTCATTATGAAGAATAATAATTCAGTTAAGTTAATTTAATCAATTTTCTTTATATTATAAAATTCGAATTCAATTTAATATGTTGAATTATTGACATAATACTTTTAATCGAAGAAGATTGTCAGGCTGTGACGCTGAAACGGGGCTCTCTGTAAACACAACTTGATTGGTCTAGTTAAATGTGGGACTCGGAATCGGAAGCCACTGCCTTGACCATACGGCCCCAATGCTGATCCTAAATGGGCTTTCACCAAAAGCCTACGGGCCTTTAACTGCCAACCAGCATGATTGATATTAAATAAATTTAAATATTGATAATATAGCTATAATCATCTTTGATTGAAATGGATGACTCGGAACACAATACATTTAAAATAATGACGTTGAGCTCCATAAGCTTGGTTAATATATACATACAGGCACAATTCTTGAGAGAATATTCCATGTCATTTAAAATGAGTAATTTAAGCTGAATTAATCACACCATCAAATTGCTTTACTAACATGAATGTACCACTTTAGTAATTAATTTTTAAAAATAACCGAGTAGAGTGCTTGCCTTTTGAATCTCCATCCATCCGGTTTTTCCTCCTGTAATTTTGAACAAATTAATTATCAAGTTTTAAGCATGTACCACGGCTCCAGAGGAAAAAGAAGTGGCGAACTGCCACCCACCACTCCCATATTTGGCCCCACGGTGACGCCGTGCTAAAACGAGACAGCCAGTGCCACATACAAACAAGAGCAGCAGTTTACAAAACAATTTCACCATTTGAAAAAAGATTTATCGATCTCCATGAGCATATATATTACATCCCTTAGAGGGCAGTAATAATTTATGTTATATAAATCGAATAGGTCTTCGTCTACGTCTAGCAACTTGATGTCTTAACAAATATGCTTTATAAGTACCCTTTTCTAATGGTAATGGGCAAATGTCTGTCGATCCTGGGTATATTATATATATTATGGTAAAGCCTATATACAATATATAATAGGGAAGACTGAGTGGCCAACTCTCATTTGTCTGGGACTCAAAACCTAGGGCCACTACTTACCTAAATTTTACTTTAATTTATACATAATTAATTGAGGTTAGCATCTAATGAGGTGGATGCAGTCTCTGTCCATTAATAAATTGAACTTGGCTGTAAAGACTCTTTTTAAGTGACAAGATAAGCGGTGCGCTGTTACGTCGGACTGAATGACCCAAGAAGCTGGCCGGTTACATGGTCTTTATTTGCAATTGCAGTGCAACACCGCCTTCATTTTATATATACAGAATTATTTGGTTGTTATTGGGTTTAAGAAAATTATCCAAAACCTATCCTATCGCAGATTCTTCCACTTAACTTAATAATACTTTGCCTTTTTCGACATGCAAAGTCCTACATATGATAAATATATGAGTAATGTCAAATGATAGATGGAATTAAATCTTGGACATTAGTACTAGAACTATCGGCCTGGTAAAATTTCCAGTGGCCATCTCTATTAGTAGTTATGGAGACTTGAATTCGAGAGACCATATTAAATCTTTTTCTTACTCTTTTACCATTAAGGAGTTTCAAGCTCGGGAGATCATATTATATCATTCTTTTATTCTTTTACCATTAAGAAGATTCGAACTTAAGATATTCTTTACTCTTTTTATTATTAGACCACCCAGTAGTGGTTTTTGAAATATATGTTATATGTTAAAGAATTTCAAAACTCATCTAATTAACTGATTTCTTAATTATATAAAATTTCACTTATACGTGGAATACAATTGGAGTGCATATGAAATGATGCAAATAGAAAGGCTGATCTACTCACTCCAAAAAGGAGTTATAAAATTATTTATAATGAACCGCCAGTTTGCCATTGTGGTCTTTTGCAACACAATCCACTCAATCAAACCCCCAACGTTGGAAATTAACGTCGACTTCTTTAAATATATCCGAGGCATTACCTAATTTATTTGTTTGTCCACTACAAATGAAGGGTGCCTCGCAAATTACACTTTAAAGCAGGCCTATTCTGGTAATATTCTTGAATAACTGTCTATAACTACTTCACTTCCATGCCACATGCCACAAACAAACCACCACCTGAAGGCTTAAACTTCATACCCTTTGTACTTAACAATTCTCTCTTCCTCACGCAGTTGAGTTGAGATGAAGAGAAACAAGAAATCATCTCTTCTGTTTGTTTTGTTCTTTCTGTTTATTCTGTCCGTCACATTTTCAATAATGTCGGTCGAGGCAAGAAAGCATCACACAAAGAAGAGCAAACATCAGAAGAAAGATAAAGGAGGCTCAGCCGATTCAGGATTTGCAGGACCTGCACCTGCACCTCCTCCAGCCCCTCTTCCTTCTTGTGGTTCGAATGCTACTCAGTTAAACATATTCGATATTTTGTCGTTTGGAGCTAAGGGGGATGGAGTCCGTGATGATTCAGAGGTAAGTAACGAAATTAATGGCCTGAAAAAAAAGTTTATTTTGTGCGTTTGAGTGCTAACTTTTCTTGAGAATTTCAATCAAACAGGCTCTTCTCGCTGCATGGAAAGCTGCGTGCAAGGTACCAGGAGCTACATTAGAAATCCCATCAGAGTTCAAGTTCCTCATCAAGCCCATAACACTGCAAGGTCCCTGCATGCCTCACCTTGTTCTTCAGGTTAGCGCCTTTCTCTTCTTTTTAGCCGACTCTGACTCACAAGCAGCAATTTCATAGCATTAAGGAATTAAAAAGTCAAGGAGTATATTCCTTCTCAGGTTCAATATTATATTTGTATTTTTGTAGTTAAGTACTTGGCACAAAAAGCTAATGTAAGTGAAATTCCATCAGATAGATGGAACCCTCTTAGCACCCCCAGAAGTAGGTTCATGGCCAAAATCCAGTTTGTTTCAGTGGTTGAATTTTAAATGGGTACAAAACTTCACCATTCAAGGTACTGAACTGTTGATGGTCAAGGCCCTCAATGGTGGACGGCATCTTCACTCTATTACACTCCGGTAATAAATTAAGAAGTAGCACAGTTTTTCATCCACATTAAAATATATGGTGTCGTAAACTTTAATTAGCTGCTTCTAAACTTCATTTCTTTTGATTCTTAACAGAAGAAACTCAAACACATTCCAGATTTGAAACCAACTGTAAGATTCCCTAATTCCTAATCCTCGACTCTCTCTATTTTTTTTTTTTTTTTTTTCGCTTCACAATACTGAATATGCTCCCATTACAGGCTTTGAGATTCTATGGAAGCTATAATGTCACAGTTCGAGATATCAAAATCATAAACAGTCCTCAATGCCATATGAAATTTGACAACTCCGCCGGGGTCAAAGTCGATAATATAAAGATTTCTTCTCCAGAAAACAGCCCAAACACTGACGGCATTCACCTTCAAAACACACGAGATGTAGAAATTCAACATTCTAATATCGGGTGTGGTACGTTGCAAGCTACCGATTCACCCGAATTAATTCTCTTAATTTCTCCTATAAAACTTAGTAGGCTTTGAATGTAAAGAACCAAACCATGCAATCTGTACAGTGTACACTTAATCACCCTATTAGGTGGCTATGACTGGTCCGCCATTAATTGGGTCGATGGTGCATGGCACGTTCGTATTGCACAGCAAAAGTTATCTGGTATAGATAACCGTCACTAGCGAACTTTAGAAACAGGCATGAACAAAAAGTATCAGTGCAACTTTTTCTCTTGTTCTCCGTGCGCCTAGTATTAATAATTGACTGGTACCTATACACCCAGAAAAAGAAAAGAATGATACCAGCATGCGCCACCGTTAGCAATATCTATTTAAATATATAATTTATGTAATTTTTTTTCCTTTTTGTCCATGGATTTATATACTAATTGGGTTTCTCTTTTGAATAGGAGATGACTGTGTATCAATACAAACTGGGTGCTCAAACATTCACATTCATCATATCAATTGTGGCCCCGGACATGGTATAAGGTAAGTTAAATAATAGAAATAAATAGACGGTATTAATATAATAATCTTGATCATTGATATAATTTGGTTTTCTTATTGAAACAACAGTTTAGGAAGTCTTGGGAAAGACAAGAGTGTTGGTTGCGTCTTTGACATTCTTGTGGAGAAAATCTCAGTGCAGAATACATTAGCTGGAGTTAGAATAAAGACATGGCAGGGGGGTATTGGATCTGTCAAGAACGTGTCATTTTCAAATATTCAAGTGTCTGATGTCAAGGTGCCTATAATAATTGATCAATATTATTGTGATAAACATTTCTGCAAGAATCAAACAGGAGCAGTGGCGATATCTGGTGTTAAATACGATCAGATAATTGGAACATATTCAGTGCAGCCAATTTATCTAGCATGTAGTAATGATATTCCGTGCACAGATGTCGATCTAATCGATATTCAGTTGAAGCCGTCTCCAAAATTTCGAGGTTTTCACCAGGCTTTGTGCTGGAATTCATATGGAAAATCAAAGGCTCCTTTGGTTCCTTCGAGTATTGACTATTGCTTGAGAAGGGATAGTGGTTCAATAATGAAAAGAGTAGCTAGATCTCATGAGCATGTGTGTTAGCATTAGCATTATCTCATGGCTTACTTTTAACTTTTTTCTCTTCTTTTTATAGATTTGTTGTGTATGTGCTTCCCTTGTGCTATATTTTTTTACTGTGTGAAGGTGATGGTTTGCAGTAGTAATTTATTTCAGATCAGTAATATAATATAAATGAGTTGGGGTGTTTTCTATTAAAACTGTAACTGGAACTTAAAAAGTTTAAACCATGTTCATATGTTTATAATAGTTAAATAAATGAAGGGGGTGAGTGGTGAGTCTGGTGACAGTAAAAGCACAACAGAAATCCACCCACTCCCTCCATCCTCACAGTTGAACCCATATCATTATATATGCTATGCTTTTAGAAAGAGAGCCAAGCGATACTGGTAAGTGGTACTAATTTATTCTGATTTGAGATCAATGTTGAACCTAAATAATTATGTTTGCAGAAGATCTCCTTGGTGTTACGGTGTACTGTAGATTTTGTGATGCTGTCTTTGTCTCTGTCACTGTTTGAGTGTGGGTGTGGGAGAGAAAGGCTGCGTTCTTTCCATAAAAGAATGGAACAAAGCAGAAAGCATTGGATGGAATGGGCAAAAGTTTCCAAACTAGATTGAACTCATTCTGTACCGTCCGGGAATGCCATAAAACAGTTGTTACGGGGGTATTGCCTGGAATTTCCTTGAAATTGTTGAAAAGAAATAATTGTTCAGTCTTATATTTTATAGAGTAAACAACTTTTTCCCACAAAAAATAATGGTCAAGTTACTTTCTCACCAAAAAAGTTTCAAAAATACTCTACTAGTCAAACCACACTTCAGTTAATAAATTTCGTTGTAAAGAAAAGCAGGACGGTCAAATGTCCATTATAAGTGAGGTCAAGATGATACTCTTACATCACCAAACTGATTGTTTTTGACTGACTTTTCACAGCTCTAGTAGCCATTCGTGCGACTGCTAGTTCACACTCATCAGTTGATTTCGGTATCGTTGTGAACTTACACTATCACATTTCTTTTCCCCGATCCTCACTCACCAAAACCCCTCAAACCTTACTCCCGTTGATCCTGTCAATCGCTAGTATTTGAGCGATTTATGAAATACGCAGCCGTCCCTTCCAATTCAAATTCTTACCAATCCCAACCACCAAAATCTAATCTATCACTACTAAAAAACTCACCGACCTTCTTTCTTCAAAGGTTTTAACAGCCTGGACCGAGTTTACTATTTATTCGTTTTTGGCAACCTCTACAATACCTCTACAACCACCCAATCTAGGAACAATCTCCAATGTCGAAATCAATCTAAAAACCCCAAAAAAATCAACACAACATTTCAAAAAACAATCACAATCCATCTCTGTCAACAATTTCCTTTTGAAACAACATCAAACAAACTCTGATTTCGCCAAAAAATCGCAAACCCCATGGGAAGTGGCGCAAGCGAACGGTGTGCAACCAGGGTCGGGGATGATAAAGGTTTTGGACGGCAGATGCCAACGAAGCAAAAGGTGGTCTCGGTGGTGGTTTTAGATGTTGGGATCAATCAGAATTTTGTTGGAAATGCTTGACGTTCGTGCAAAATCCCCAAAAGAGTGCAGATGATTAAGGAGTGATTGTGGGTGGGGGTGAGAGGGGATTTGGTGGGGGGAATGTCGGTGAGTTGAATGGTGATAACGATGTTGATTTCCGGTGCTAGAATGGGCCGAAATTTGGACTGAGTGTGCGAAACTTTGATTTGCAGTAGCCGGTGATTGAGGGTTGATTTTTGGTAAGGGTATTTTTATCTTCACAATAAATATCACTATATTTAACGAAAATTATTAACGAACATATTGTTGGGGTAATAAAGTTGTATTTTGAAACTTTTTTGATAGAAAAGTGTCATTAGACTTTTTTTGGGTGGTAAAAAGTGGTTTACTCCATTTTATATTTATTTAAGAAGAATTCTATTGCAGCAGAAAATGATAATTGTGAATCAATTCATTAATCTTTACCAGAAACAATGCAATCATATAAGATAAATGGTTACATCATTGAAAGATGTTGAGGATTAAAGGAGGACTTGGAAGGTTCAAAAAGCATAATTAATAAAATTATGAGTACCCAAAACAAAACGACAAGCCAATTAAAATTAGAATTAATAAGATGATTGAAATATTAAATTAGAAGAAATGGTTATGTTGATTACACTGGAGCTGGGCCAACTCTTGGAATAGTAGTTGTTGAGTGGAAGGTGTTTGATGATAGCAACTGCGTGCACCGTCCAACGTAACCTTTAGAGAAGAATCTCACTTCACGCGCACATATATATATATATATATATATATATAGACAACCAAACATAAAGCTATTCATGTTGGTCATCAAACACCTAGATGGGTTACATACATTTTTTCTTTACCTTCTTCGGTAAACAACTAAGAAAACCCACCATCCCCTATTCTCCTTCTCTTTTTGTATTTTCTCATCTCCTATTCCATAAAGTTACTTATACTAAATTAATATAACATGTTTGGTTAGACTTATTTATTGACCAAAAGTGCTTATTTAATTTAAAGTTATAAATATTTTTTTAGGTTTTTTGATTGTATTTCAAAAGTACTTATACAATTTTAAATAAGTTATTTTATGGTTTATGAGAAAAATTCAAATTTTGAACTTTTCCCGTGAGCTCTTTTTGAGCTTAATAAAATTATTGAAATTTAAAACATATTTCTATTCAATTTTATAAACTTCTTTTGATATATTCTTATATATTAAAACAATTTTTGATAAATTAATATTAAAAAGTCATTTTACATTTTTCTAATCAAACAACTAACAATTTTTTTTTTTCATAAAAACCCTATTCTAATAAGTTCTTCTTCCATAAACTCTTTTTTTTTTATAAACTTTACTCCAAAAAATCGTACCAAACAAAAGCTCTTAGAGAACCTTTTTGGACATGTGCTAAGTAATGGGCTAGTCTTGGACCTGTTATGTGACACTTTGAGCAGGCCACCCAAGATAGACCTGGGCTGTCAATGGCAGATAGTTTTCACTTTTCACCCACACAGAGAGAGTACGTCTAAGTAGTGACGTCTAACATTTGCAATTACAGTCATGAGAAATGATTGTACAATAATGGTGGCATTTGTGTAATCAACGAATCATAATTAATCGAACAAAAATAGGGTAACAAATGTTTCTCACCACTTTTTCTTATAAATGTTTATAATTGGTCAGTTCGCGTTTAGTAGAAAAGACATATTATTAGACAAACGTGACCAATTACAAGCTAACTAATTATGAACTGATACGTCACATTTGTGAAAGAAAGTTAATAAGAAATGTTTGTAAATGTAGTATTATTGTAATTAATTAGTGTAACCCAACATATTACCAACATTAATCATTGTGTGATGCTGTAGACCAACCACATTAAATAAATATTTCCCCAAAACTTTACTCTTAAATCATTATCTCTATTTTCAATAAGCATCTTTGGAGTCAATTTAATTTATGAGAGGTCAACTATACTTATAATATTGTACTTTTAATTTTAGAGCACATTAATTGTAGACAAAGACTTGTAAATATTCAACATAAAAAAGAATATAATATTATTGTAACAAATAAACCATTTAATTTACAAGGTTAATTTAATTTACTCTTAAAAGATTACAAAACCTGAACATCTTTTGGAAAGTATTAAATATTCTCTGAAATACCAAAAACCCAATTTTAAATATAAAAAATAACCCTTAAAAAAAATCTCAAACACTTACAAATATTAAGAAACCCTTCAGCAAAATTATATAATAGTTTCCAAAAATTATTGGGCTCCGTTTGGTTCAAAATTTGGGGGTTTTGAGAAAAGTTTTTTGAAAAAAGTTAAAAAAAAAGTTGAATTGGGCGGGTATTACGATGTAGGATTTATAAATTAATAAAATACCCTATATATTTGTTTTTTTACAAAATACCCCCTATAATAAAACATTAAAAGTTAACAAAAATATCCTTAACTCACCCTCAAACACCCCCAGTCGGCCACCACCACCGGACGTGGCCGGAGTCACCTTATGGGCGCATGACCGGCTGGATCTTGCCAGTCATGCGCAGATATGGCATTTTCCGGCTAAATCCACGGTGGATCTGGCCGGCAAAGGCCAGATCTACGGCCAGATCTGGCCGTCAACCGCCAGATCTGGCCGTATTTGCTCTCAACGACGGCCAACAAACGGTCGTCGTTGATGTTGATGGTCAACGACGACCGTTTGTTGGCCGTCGTGACCGACTGTTACGGCCAAAGATCTGGCCGTCAACGGCCAGATCCACCGTGGATCTGGTCGGAAAAGGCTAGATCGGCGCACTACCGGCCAGATTCAGCCGGTAGTGCGCCATCCTACCAGATTCCGACCATTTTCCGGCGGTGGTGGCCGGAATCTGGTAAATGTGGATTATTGGGGTGTTTTTGTAATTTTAAAAAAAATATTTAGTGGTATTTAATTAAATTAACAAATTTAAAGGGTTTAAAAAAAATTGAATAATATTGAAAATAGTATTCCCAAAAATGAGAGTTTTTGGGTATTTTACTGTTTAACTTTTTTTGGAATACTATGAGTAGTATTCCCAATCTTGAACCAAACGAAGCCCAAACATTTGAGATTTAGCTATATTTCGGGAAACATATAAAATTAACTTTAATTAATTTAAAGGTAAGACTTTTAATCAAATAATTTTCTGTTACATTTTATGAATATCCATTGAGGAAATAAGGTTATATATAATTGGAAGTAAATAGAAACATATTTCAATAATAAACAATCAAATCCTAATTAATTTAGTATTAACGGTCAAAGACAGCATAAGTTAGGAAATTTTTTTTTTTAACAAATCACCTCCTGATAAATTATATAAACCTCCTTATATAAATATCTATTTAGCCCAAATATAAAGTAAATTAGAAGGCTAAATTAAAATTTCCCAGGCCCTAACAAAACTCATGGGCCTAGGTGAATTCCCAGACATGAGTAGGAGAA